CATATTTTCTAAAATTGTCTTCAACAAAACTTCTCACTAATATACAATTTTAATGTGCAAACGAATAACTCCTGCAAATGTTTTAATCTCTGTTCTTTAATTTACGATGAGAATAGTAGTGGTGGACAGAGTTGGTGGAACACCTTGTATACTGTGTACTAGTCTCCTGCAACCAGCTCGTTATTCGATGATGTTCGTACCACGCAACGATAACGATTATATCGGTGTTCCATGTTGGACATACTGGCATTCTATTCCCACTTTTGCTTTCCTCTTTTCACTTTGCCCTATTAATGTTGAAACGAGTTGCTCGAGGAGCGAATGAAAATTGATTCGCCTTGGAAGTCGGTCGGTTCGGAGACAAGAATTAAGATCGAGGATAGACGGGCCACATTATATTGAATCGAGCGAAGTGGGAGAATCCAGCGAAAGCGTGACAAATAGGGACTTTGTTAGAATCTGTCGTCCACCTGTTTTAAATAAATATTCTTAATAAATATTAATTAACATCGATAAATATTTTTATTAGAATTCTTTTATCCGCTGTTTTAACAATGACAAAAACTAGCAAAGTACAAACAACTGTAAGTAGTGCTAATTACCGTTAACATTAGCAAAAACATAACATTGCAATCAAGTCTCAATCTCATTTCTCCGTGAGGGATCATTTTTCGGCAACGATATCTCTATCCTACGCTACACAAAATTACGATAAGCCGAATGCAACGATTCCGTATCGGTATCGAACTACATTCTCGTGGAGTACTTGCAGTGAAGTCATCGTATTCATGGATTATTGGAGAAAATACAAGCCCCTTGCATAATCTGACCTTTGCTTCTACTTTATTGTAACGCTTGGCTTCGATACAACTTTCATTACTCACGAAAGGTTGTGTGTGTAGAGCGAGAAAATCGACGGATTAAACGGCCTTAGAATTCATTCACAGAATGTCTTAAATTATACTTTTCATTACGAAATGGTTAAACAGTACCATAATCATCGTGTGATTTATCCTACAGTTTACTATCACTGTGTGAATATTTGCTGTCTAGGTATATATGTATGCATACGTTATAAATAGACTGATATTGGTGGAGATTTTTGCAAATTACTTCTTCATTTAACTACATGTTTAGTTTCAAATGAATAACATACGCGAAGATATCATTCGAAATGGAATTCCATTTCAAATGAATTCAATTGTGATAGTTTTGTATTAATATTATTTTTCAAGTGAATAAACACAGACACGTGAAGGTGATAAAAAGGTGATAAAAAACATTTCGAAAGGCTGGATACAGATTAAATATTCTTTTCGAGTGACCGTTTCTGTCCATCGAAAATGCGAATTTCGGTAAATATGCCTACATTTGAGCGGTTGAAGCGAATTCAAATGACTTCGTGGGACAATGCGAATAACTGTAGGAACCGAAAGATCGTGGAAAAAGCCGGAAAAATAAAAGAAAAGTTCAGGGAGTCGCCAGTTAAAACGTATTTCAGTCACGGAACGGCTGGGCGCCATCCCACGTTCTTCTTTTTTCCTCAAGGTGTTGATGCCTGACACGTTCGTGAGACCGAATCTCGTATTTATACGGCCTATTCACGAAGTAGACATAATCGTGGAGTGGCTGCATAACGGTAAAAACAGATCGGCGTGCATTCACTTTTCCCCGTTCGGTGCACATGCAGCTCAATGCATATATCGCGCAGACGAAGATAGCCGCGGGCATGCAATACCTTTTAAACTCCGCGAGTCATTGATCCATCCCCAGTCGCGGTGTACAAATAACTCTAATGGAATTACCCTTTCCTTTCAGTATTACGCTCCGAGGACGAGGCCGATTTGCCTCGATTCGCTCTCGATTTTCGGCCGAATAGGGCTCAATGAGAAAATAGAGGAAATGAACGAAACACAGCCTCGCTTCCATGCGTACAGACAGAAGCCGAATGTACAGAGGCGAAGTAAAAATTATATATCTTGCGAGCTCTTTTTAAGCGCCGTGAATAGCCCGCCGATATTTATGCACTTTTCTTTTGCCCCGATTCGTTGAAACAACCGAGAATTCAATGGAGACTCGCGTCTTCCATTAAGAATTTCACCGGCTGAGAATATGATAATAATGTTCGGTGTGCTTCAGCTATTATTGAGCAATGCTTTCTCAATTCATTTTGAAACTACCAATAAATTCGACTAAATATGCGGGATAGTTCGTTAATCTTTGTACGTTCTTCAAAACTAGTTGCGTAAAGTAGCTTAGAATAATAATTCACTCTTTTCTGCTTTTCATTTCACAAGGAATGTATACATTCTTACAGATAATATTAAAGAAAGAATGTTGAGATCAAAAAAATTTTTCATGACGTACAGAACTTATAACAATCATAATAATTGTACAGGAAGTCCCATTTAAGTTGTGATTGTAAAAAATCTCGTAGACACGTGATTTAAAAAAAAAACTGTCTTGTCACCTGTCTATTAATATTTCAAGTGGAGAGTGAAATGGCAGTATGTACTAATTTTTTAATAAGGTTAATCAAGGTTATTTCAAGGTCATCTTGATTCTTTTCATCATAAACCTATATTTTTTTATTTCGGAATCTATTCTTTTCATTTAAAAATATGCATAAATATGTGAGTTATGATGGTTCTCATGAGGGCTCCCTAAAAAAACATACTTCACGATGTTTAGCTTCATTCGGTCCATGGTTATCTGAAATCATGTACGAAAAATACTTTTTTAGTTAATAATTCAAATTGGTCTTGATTATTATTTTCAATTTTTTATTCATTCAATTTGGTCTTGAACGAAGGATTTTCGAAATATTGATTTTTGACAAGCTGGCAGGCATTCAAAATGAAAGTTTTGATTTTTCATGAAAAATAGCTAGCTTTTAGCCTATAAAAACCAAAATACTCAACAGAAAAAAATCCTTCGTTCAAGGACAAGTTTTTGAACGCAAAAATGCTACAAAAGTTTCGTCCAAATCGATTCACAACAATTTTTAATCCAAGTTCATGTGTATTGTCGGTTTGAAATTTGATTTTTACATCACACACTTTACACTTCACAAGTGTTGAAATTGTTGTCAAAATGGTAAGAAAACTGATAATTCTATATTCCACAAAATTATCTTGCGGCACAGTAATGTCTTCCTGTAGTTTAATTTTTTCACTGATGTACTGGCATTTCTTTCACCATTCTTAGCGGTTTTTGAATTAAAAATTTATTTTTGTTTTTTCGGTCTAATAAGCTAAATTACATGTAAAACTAAACATTTTCAAGTCCTCAAAAATGGTAGTTATATTCGCCTGTACCGTAAACTTTAAGAGTTCTTAAAAAAAATCCTAACTTCATCCGATTACAATAAAACTTTCAGAGAATATTCTTAAAATGTAATACTTTCACAAACAATCAAAACTTCTGATTTCTGATTGAGCATGACCCCTTAAATGAAGCAGAGAAATTTTTGAAAAAGTCCAAAGAGTGTCGCTGGAACAGTTTAAACTGGAGTGATGCAAACGATTAAACTGAATAAATTAGAAAGCAATATAAAAGTGAAGAGACCATACTGAAAGTCGTGACGGGCGAGGTGCAACTACAATAATTAATGTCTTCTAAATGATTAACCATTGGCCTACAAAAGGGGCGCTGGCGCACTCAGACCGACGAGTGCTACTATAACCAGTCAAAGACTCGTTTAACAAAGTGGGTAGAACCTCTCCGTCTAAGATTTATTATTGTAGCATCTGATACTAATGAAGCACGGTCCACTGGGATTTCGAGCAATGCCTCACAGGAAACACTAATTTGTTAAATAAGTTTCTGGAATGTCCAGATGGCATCTAAGCAAATGGCGTCTATTAAGACTGAAAACTAGGCTAGCCGCCGCGGCCAAAGATGATTCAATGCTTGAGTGAAAGCTCTAACAACCGAAGCTGAATGCAAACGCTGTGACATGAAATACTTCCTTTCTCAATTTAAATTCCTCGAAGTACTTTGAGCGCAACTTTAGAGTGTTTAACCAATTCAACTAGTTTAATGGAATTGAGTTCATACGCGTACGTGCGTAGATCAAAGAGCGAGGTTTCAGAAAACTCTTTAGCTTTGCGCACACAATGAAATATTATTATGTTATTAGACATAATTTAAGCGAATTATCGTTTCTATAGGCAGGTTTGAAGACAGCAAAATTAAATGAAATTACACTTCCTTTCGCGATAGTCGCGGCGAACAAGAACACAATGCAACTTGTGTTGAATTATACTTAAATGTGGATCTTATGATTTCACCTGAAAATAATTGTGTGAAAATTCATTGTGAGTTACAATTTTATGTTTTATCGATTCAATGATAATTGAAAACGAAGGTGCATAGATATTAATCGAGGAGAATAAACAATTTTTGTTATACTGTAAATAATTCTGTGGATATGCAGCCATGAACACAAGCGTTAATACAACTATTAAACTAGTTTTTAATAGACGTATATTAATGTAAGATATTATCAGTGAAAATGTTAAATAAATTAGCGCACAAATCAAGTAGGAATTTCTATCTTTCTTTAATGGTTCGAATAAGCTATAAATAGTGTATCGATTATATTCTTAGACTCTTTTGACCCTTTCACTGTTTAGTAAAATTCTTCCCACCATTTTCTCATAAACAAATAAATAACAGGTATATAATAGTTTTACTAAGTAACAATTTCATTCCTTATTTCTGTTTCCCTTTTGAATTTTCTAATTATCAGGTTTTACAAAATTCTTGTAATTTCTTTCCAAAATTTTATATCAAACTACATCAAACAGGTTTTGTACGCTTCGCTCGAGTACAATCGTTGGGTCGGGACTAGAAGGGTTAAAAAGGGGGAGAAATAGTTTTGAGCGGTACTGTACTCTAGCAAACGAACAGATAGATCGCACACTGTTATGGTTTTCCCCGCCCTCGTCTACGTATAATAATTACGTGTATAGCTAACATGGTTTTTCTGTTTGCAGACGTTTCCGATGTGTCAAGCCTCGCGAGGAAGGTGACGAGCAGGTTTCAGACGAGAATCTTCAAGATAGCTCGAACGAATCCCGCAAGAAGCCGCGCCGAATAAAACGAAAATGGTGACGATAAGCCAGCGACGAAGGCATCCTCGATGGAGAATGCTCTTCACCGTGGTCATTTTGTCGAGTTTCGTCAGGCATTGCGAGTTAACGTCTACAAAGAGACTAACCGACGCCGGCTCGTCCTCCCCGACGGCCACGTTATCAAGAAGTTCCGGTGAAACGAGGTCTCAGAACTTAGGTTCACCGAACGATCTAGCCTGGCAGGCTTGGCTTCTGCTCGACTCCCAGACGGGAGCGCACTCCGGCATGGACTCAGCGACTTTTCTCAGACGGATTACGCCGAAGAGCGTCTTCATCGCTCCCGCGTTGCCAGCTTTGCCACCTTGCGCGGAAGGCTACCAGGCGGACACGATGGGCAGATGCGTGAAGAATGTGAACATCGACCAGGAAGCGCACTTCGTCTTCCTTCTGCAACAGCTGAATAGTCGGTATGGTAACCGAGGCGGAAGCTCCGACTCGTTCAACAACAACCAGAAGAAATCGAACGGGCCTCTACAGCTAAACATCCCTCTGCTTCCTAGTTCCAACTCGCAGTCATCCAAGTTGGAGTCCGAAGAAGCCAAGGACACGATAAAGATCCCCGTGGTGGTACCTCCTCGCGTCGAAATCCAGTCGGACGAGGTAAAACTACCATCGAAGCCGATCATCGGGCTTCAAGAAACGAAGAACAACAGCAAACCGAAGGACGGCGAGTTCGTGTTCCTCCGTACAGACTCCAGCGACTCAACCGAGAAAAATCGCGAAGAAGCTCCGTCAAAGCTCGGCGCTGTGGTTCCCGTGGCAGAGTTTCCTGTCGACGATGCAAACGACACCGACGTCTCCGAGATCGTCGACTATAACATACCGATCGACCTGAAAACGCTGCTGAACATATCGAGCCTGAAAACGATCAACATCACCGACGGCCAAGGGACGTGGAAGAACGGATCGCAGCTTTTGAACTCAACGGAAGCGACGCCCATGCTGATTCTCCTTCCGTCGACGGCGACGTCGCCGAACCTGGTGCTCCCCAGCACCGAGGACCTCCCGTTGGACGACAACGCGAACCATCAGGCACACGTTCGGGAGAGCAACGTGACGGGGAACGTTACCGATAAAGAAATTATCGGTCAGATCGTTCTAGAATCGACGCTCCCGAGCAGAGGCTTCGACGTACCACCGGCCGTGGTAGACAGGATCGAGGCGAACAAGACGCAAGATGGAAACTCGTCGGACATTCTTAACTCGCACGTCCAAGAGTTGCAGGAGATGGAGCCGTTCTACGACGACGAAGAAGCGAGCGAAGATTACGTGGACGGTACGAACCAACCGGACGAGGAATCGTCGGAAACGGAAGGCGGTGAGATTTTGAAGCACGGCGAGGCCGGGATGACGATACTATTGAAAGATATTAAACGATTACAGAATGAGCACCGGCAACAAGCGGAAGCTGCTAGCGAAGCGAAGATCGGCGAAACATCGACCGGCGATTTGTCGAGTGACTCGTGGGCGCATTCGAACGAGTCCACGACCACCGATAAGGAGGAACGGGACGAGGCCGGTAGCAACGTGTCGAGCGAAGTGAGCATCAACGGCGACATGATCGTGGAGACAACCCTGCTGGACGTGACCACGGATAAGACCCGGAACATCACGAGGACATTGGACACCAACAGTACCAGCAGCATTGAGGACGGCGACGAGTATCTGCGAGAGCTTTTCGAATCAGAGAAAGAGACGAATCCGGAACCGTTGGTCCAAAGTGTCCACGATCCAAACGAAAAGGAGCAACCCGTACCGGATAGACCGCAACCAGCCGAGGACCCAAAGAGCGACGAACTGGAGGCAGCACCCTCGTCCTCCGAGTCTCTGCTGTATGACCCCAATTTCCGGGAGCATTACGCCGAAGAGGATCCCATCACCGAGATCCACACGATTGACGAGCAATCGGCTGGCGACAAGGAGGCCGCGTTTCTGAAAAAGTCCAAGGTTCCGAGTTCCTTTCGGAACTTCGAGCCGGAGACGAATTTCAGACCCACGCTGGAGAACAGACACCCCACCTATCCGAAACAGTCCGTGAAGTTCCCCTCGGAGGAGGTGAACAGCATACACAGTCAGGACTACAAAGAAAGAGCTCCGTATCCTCTGGACGACGGTCTACATTCCAGCACGAAGAGCAGCGTGTTCGCCCATCAGAAACCCTTCCACCGAGGACTGTCCTCCTGGCGAATGGCTTCCAGGCAGCAGGTATCCGGACAACAGGTGGGGACGGCGCGCAGACAGTGGCAGAGGCAACCACCGATCTCGATCTCCTTCTGGACGGCGATGCCCCTGATGAGGGACCCTAGTCTTTACTCGACCGACCAGGACTCCCACAGCAAGACGACGAACAGTCAGACGTACACGAACAACAGATTTCCAGAGGTCACGCCGTCCTGAAGGACCATCCCGAATAGCTATCGCGAGCCGCAAATGGGCCAATCGCGTCAAAATTGAGGAGACCTGTCGGTGGATAATGGAGTGTCGCCGGGAGGTTGCTTCGGCGTTTTCACGCCTCGTCGCTCCCGGTGGGAACGTCCAAAGACTGTAGAACTGTGCCAAATAGATGAAAAGAGTCGCGTCGAGCTCTCGCCGGCTCGGAATTCGCGTGCCAGCCGATTCGTCCGTCGCGGAGGAACTGATCGACGACGGCCTGATCGATCGCGCATTCTACGTACTTACAGTCGGAGCAACGAAGACACGGGATCGTGTGAACCGATACGCGGCGGAGTCGATGCGTTGCGTAACTCTCATTAGAGACCTCGCCAATTAGCGTCCGTGCAACGACGATGACCCAATCGTCTTCGAAAGAAGGAGAAAGAGAGAAGGGAAACAAAAAAAAAGAATTAGATACTAGGTCCGTCGAGAATAAGAGAATCACCGTTGAAAAATGTCTTCGAATTCGAGATTAACCGTGTTTCAATGTTGCGGAACACATATCGCGCCACCCGCACCATCGGCGATGTAAAATGTTTCTTTCGGCCTAATTCACTGAACATCCAAAACGATTCCACCAAAACTCGTATCACGCATACATATGTATACATAAATGCATATACGCTTGTACATGTTCACTTGCATGTATACGTATGTACATGCTTGTATGTGTTTGGTGTTTTTGGAGATGCCGTATTTTTTTTCTAATCGACATTTGAGAAACTTTTTGATCGAAGAAACCTGTATAGGCCTAATTTATCGTTTAAGGATCTTTTCGATAAGATTGATAGTATTAATGGCGTGAATATTCCCGAGCTTCTCGTGTAAAGGCTAAGATCACACGTTTTCTTTTTTCGAACGCAACCACGTTGGACTCTGTAGCAACAGCGTCAAAGGCCGTATTAAGATAACGATGAAACGACAAGCTTTCGTTCTGGGATAACTACATATTTCGTTTCGCGTTGCGTTGTTTTTTTTCTCCGTGTGGCCTTGGTCATGTGATCGACAATCCAAAATGCTTTTCTTTTTTAATGAAATCATACTGTTAGATGTAATCGCTTGAATGTAAGAACTCATTTATTAACGAAATTCGGTACCTTCATTAGAGGCTTTCGTATGTCTAAGACGGTATTATGTTAATAAGGAAAAAGTCGAGACTATTTTAAGCGGAGAAAGTGATAAGCCAACGGACTAAAAAGAATTACGTAATTTTTCTGTTAAAATTCTGTCGGCTAGCGGACACCGCAAGGAAAGCTTTCTAAAGCCGTGTATGTGTGCAGGAGACAGTTCCATGATGATGGTTACAAGTTCAGCGTCATCGTTTGTAAACCAATTCCTTTTTCATCGTACAGATTAAGAATCGTTGACTGAATATGATATTAGAGATACAAATAGGAATAACCGAAATTCGAGCATAATCGTTTTGTACGTTAACATTACATATGAGAATACACGAGCGTACTAAATATTATTGGTTTACAAATTTCCAAATCCTTAAATTTAATTTATCACACGAATCTGTGTACTCGATTTTATAAATGTGATTTTATATGGATACCCGATTTAGTCTACGTCTCGAAATTAAATCGGAACAAATATGGGAATATCTGATCTTACGAATAACACCTGTCCCAACCCGTTTTTCTACGACGCGAAATTTGCAGATCCGTTTCGACCGAGATACCAAACGCTATCACCTTAATTTTGAAACGTAGAGAATAATTTCACGAAACGTGCGGCAACTGTTCAGTGAGGCAAAAGCAGCATAAGGTGAAAGCTTGAAATATAGGGATTCAGAATCTCGAACAACACGAATTTTGTATATTTTTTAGAACATTATGTAGCATATTAGGGACTTAGATACTCCGTGAAAGTATGTAGGTGTTATGAGCCTATGAGGCAAAATGTAACGATTTTCGACGTATCGTGCCCAGAAGGGTGTCACTTTCTCTATCTCTTGAGCGTGTGTATAGTATACAGAAGAATGTTTTAATGATTCTTGCCATTGATAACCGAACAACTAACGACCCGAGCAGCAAGATTCATTCTAGCAGGGTGTACCTCTTTCCTCAAAGGTATCTACTATAATGTAGTTCACAACATATTGTTCCGGTATAACAACGAAATGGAAAATACTCTGTCGTTCTATAAAAAGCCAAATATTAGTTAACGAAGAACCTACGTCAAAATCTCAGTATAGCGTTCTTATTTCCTATGCGCCACGATTCGAATATCTTGTAGCACGCGACCAGAAATACTTTTACAGGACATCGCGCTATTGTACGTGCACGCTGCTCGAAATTATCATAAAGTCCACCGAACCTTTGATAAAACGTATACCCCGATAATTAAACTGGCAAATGTGCGTACAAGGACAAAGATGTTCTACATCAGTTCCAATTTACTCTTTTGATCTCTCTACTGTTTTATCGGATTTGCGGATAACAGTTCGAGATAAAGTGCATAATAAATCCATCGAAGTTCAAAATAGCAACAACAAAATTACTATAATCCGAAGGCTCAAGGAGCGAGTGACTTTATGGAAAGTTTGAGGACTGCGCACAGAGATCGTCGACAAACGAAACCTCTGTTATGAAAACAAGCGAATTGTAAGACGATCGTAAGGTCGCGCTCAATCATTTAACCGTGAATAAAGTATCCGCGCAGTAAGTCACGATCGTACACTGCGAAAATCGTGGATCATTAACTCGATGTCCGTACCCGATCAATAATAATGAAAAGATAAATGTAGAAGAATCGCTTGTCTATATTCGTCACAGTCGAACCAGTCGATTCTCGAACGAATATTAAGTAAGATCCAATTCGAAACGATCTGTGTATCATGCTTGTTGGAGTCTGGGTTCACGAGCCGCGTAAAATCTGCCTGTGACCCGGGTACATCGAATCAGACTGATTTTTAGCGGTATTGCGTTATTTATAGGATTCGAGCTCGCAGTCTGTCACGCGAAGTATCGAGAGGTGCGCTGGTCTATAAACGAATTCGTTTCGGTCATTTCAGTCGTGAAACGTAGGGGAAAAATGCTGCGAAGCATAGCATTGTTGTTTCGTTGCGTCCCGAAACCTTTCTCGGGCGACGAGTCCATCGAGTCTGAAAACTCGCGAATATTTCGAACACTAACGAAATTTTCGAATCGGTATTCGCGATGCGTAAAGCGTTGCGTTACTTCGATGCTATTCGATTCATTTTAAGAACGCGTTCGTTCAACACTCCGATGGTCGCCGGGGAACACGCAACTTTTACGGTACTTACGACTATAACACACGATTAAATGAATTATTCTATCACGATTCGCGCCGCATCTTTAACGAGAAAATGGAGAAGAAGAGAGACTCGAGGTGAATGAATTTGGAAGTTTATATCCAAGGAAACATGCGACCATCGGAGTGTCTTTTAACATAATGTGAATACTGAAGTCGACGTTTCATATGCATAAACCTGATATTTATTGAGAGCATTGTTTTCTCGGACGCATACAATTTCAAGATTTTATGCCTGTCGAGGTGCAATCGAGTCCAAGCTTGCAGCTACATTTTGTAGCCGAGGCACGTATTTATATACATAGTATGAATGTTTTCGATGTGAGAATTGTTCATTGTTCTACGACATAAGAGTACTACGAGGCGAGCGTTCGGAGCAGTCAGGATCTCCGATCTCCGATCTCGTTGAAAGCTTTACGGCTGTCGCGATCATTTTCTTTCCTCTTGGAAACGCATGCGAGATCTGTTTGTAAGAATATGCGAGAGAATATGCGAATATCTGCTGTCCGAATACTTTTTATTCGAAATGAAATTCTATTACGTGGCTCTGATGCACGTACGATCAAGAAACGGAATTATGAATCTGACGTCGCGGCCAGTAATTTTTAATTGCTCTGCGTACGCTTCGATGTGGTGTGTAATCTCTCTTTCTCATCTACTGAATGTTGATTCGTGTACATATTAATTTTATTCAAGGAAAATGTATATACAGAGTAATTAAGAAGCGTCACCGGCGTCTTAATGTGTATTAATTGTAACTGTATTAAATACTATTGTATTATTTATAGCTAAATATATTGATGTATATTATATACATGTCGTATTGTGTAGGAGTCTTGTTAGATCGCAAATGGAAAACGTTATAAAAATCATTCGATGTTGGTCTTATACCAAAATACTCGTGCTTTATTATTCACAACCTGTCCAGGCATGATACACGATTGTACTACAAATCATTTTTATCCATTAAACATTTTTTTATTGTACATAACTATAATTGTTAATGAAACTGCATGTTACATTGTACTATTGTCTCTACTTTATATTCCTTGGAAACCCCTAGCTAAGAAAAATTTCTCCGTCGAATCGTTCCTTGTAGCTCGAGGTCTGACATGTCTAACACGCTTATAGAATTTTAGCAAATCACTCTCTATTTGCTGTGATCTTGCACCATCCCATAGCTTACATACAAATGTTCCATTTATCTTTGTAAATTTCAAAGCAAATTTCATAGCAGCATATACAAGTTTTACTATATTCTCATGATCTAACTCTTTCACGCCAGTCGAATTTGGTGCCATATCTGATAAAACTACATCAACTTTCCTGTTTTGTAGTAATTTAGAAAATTCATTTTGACTTGCAGACACTGTGAAATCCATTCTTCCTAATATGGTTGCACCTTCGATCGGAGATATTGTTTGTTTGTCTATTGCAAACACAGAGCCAACTGGACAATTATTTTTCCCATCTGCATTTGTCTTTTTGACAGCAACTTGAGTCCAACTGCCAGGTGCAGCACCACAGTCTACTACAGTTTGTCCAGGTTTCAATATATTGAATCTATCATTTATTTCAAGCAGTTTGAAAGCACTTCGGCATCTATAGTTTTCTTGTTTTGCCAATTCTATATATGGGTCTTGTATCTGTCTCATAATCCATATCTGGGAGCTGAGCTTTTTCCCCTTCAGATTTTGCGGTTTTTCTCGGAGTAACGTATTACAAACATGTAAACCCCTTATTATGAAAGAACTTCTACGTAAATCCTTCATGTTTGATTACAAACGTAACCTAGAAAGGGGGAAATATGCGAAAAATTCCAGAATTTTGACTCACATGTATGTGTATTCATGAAAAGGGTACAAAGCTGCTTCTTCTTATTTTCACAGTTCTTTCGTCATTGCAACCGGTTATTAATGAAAACTGTTTATACAAAAAAATAATCTAAACATCAAAACACTAAATGCGGTCATAAATACTTCTGTGAATAATTATGAGGCGCGTCCTGGTTGTATCAGCTGATTAAAACAGTCGAATACGCATGCGTAAAAGCACTATGATGGAAGCGGAACTTCGTAGTTACGAAAAGTGTCTCGTACTGCTTGCCGGCGAAAATGTGATAGAATTCCATACAATTTCATAAGTAGACGATCGTTCGAGCGAATATTACGGTCGAAGAAATAATTTACAATGAACTTGTCCGCGGGGAATCCTCACGGGAACGGTTTGCTCTATGCTGGCTTCAATCAGGATCAAGGTATGTGACCGAGTGTGCTACATTTGACAGTCCGGTCACGTACTGTCAAATTTATTTTCTTCATTCTAACCTCTGTGTCTAATTCTTTTGCCAGATTTTATGGTGATATTATCATTGGATATTACTAATATTGTTTTCATATTGAAAAATATATTTTTCCCATGCAATGTTCACTGGAAAGTGATTGAAATTTCAATCATTAATATCGTGTTTTACTTTCTAACCTTATTCATGAAAGATTTTTGTAAATACCTAATAATCGATATATGCTGTAACTTTTATATGAAATTATATTATAATAATCAATATCGTCTATTTATAATTTTAATTATTTTTACAATCGTACAAATTAATTATATAGCGATGTGTGTGTTTTAATAATCTGTTATCAGTGATTTTGTATTTTTATATATAAAAGCAAATAAATATGTTTTTTTGTTTCTGTACAAATTTTATTCAAATTATTGGTGATTTCATTTGTTGTACCTCGATTCTTTCTCTCACACGTATTGTACGATATGAGGCTATTGGACGAAGAAGTTAATAATAATTCTATTGAGCCAATTACATTGGCTTATCTCCTTAGGTTAATGTATGTTCTTATTACTGCATGCATTCAATAAAAAAACGTTGAATTACTGTATGGAGATCACAAAGGAAGAAGTTAAATATATATTGCACTGGCAGATAACCATATCATTATTGCTTTTATAATTTTCCACTTGTAGGGTGTTTTGCTTGTGGTATGGAAAATGGCTTCAGAGTGTATAGTTGTGATCCTTTAAAGGAAAAAGCCCGTGACTTCAGCGATGGAGGCTTTGGTTATGTGGAAATGCTATTTAGATGTAATTATGTAGCATTAGTCGGCAGTGGAGCAAAGCCGATGTATCCTACAAACAAAGGTAGAGGTTTCTTTGCCATTGATACTACAAATACTTACAAAATACAAAATTATTTATCTTATTCATTATATTTTCAGTTATGATATGGGATGACCTTAAGAAGACTCCAGCGATCACTTTAGAATTTAATGCTCCTGTGAAGGGTGTTAAACTGAGACGAGATAGAATAGTAGTAATTTTAGAAGGTGTTATAAAAGTTTATACTTTCACACAAAATCCTCAACAGCTTCATGTTTTTGAGACTAATCCAAATCCTAGGGGTCTATGTGTATTATGTCCACATAGCAGTAATTCTTTACTTGCTTTTCCTGGTAGAAAAAATGGTCACGTACGAGGTGAAGTTTTAAATAAAAAACCTTTTATTATACTTATGATTTCATCATACAATAATTTCTTTTATTACAGTGGTAGATTTGGCTAACACAGAAAAACAACCTTTAAATATAGAAGCACACGAAACACCTTTGTCTTGTATAGCTTTAAATCTTCAAGGCACAAGATTGGCTACTGCTTCAGAGAAGGGTACTTTAATAAGAATTTTTGAAACGCAAAGTGGAAATATGATCAATGAGTTGAGAAGAGGGGCTAATCATGCAAATATTTATTGGTAAATAAAAATGGTATTATGTAAACTGTTACTTTATAAAAACAAACTAATCGAATTGTAATTTCAGCATAAATTTTAATCACGATTCTACTTGGCTATGTGTAGCGAGCGACCACGGAACTGTACACGTTTTTGCTGTAGAAGATCAAAAATTAAATCGTCAATCTAGTTTAGCGTCCGCTACTTTCCTGCCAAAATATTTTAGTTCAAGCTGGAGCTTTTGCAAATTCCAAGTTCCAGGTGGTCCGCAGTGCATGTGTGCGTTTGGAACTGGCAGCAATAGTATTATTGGTTTGTAATGTAATGCAATAGGTTACTATTAACACAATCTAAGATTGTACATTTTTTTTATCTTACAGTGGTATGTGCAGACGGTAGTTACTACAAGTTTGTGTTCAATAACAAAGGTGAATGCACGAGAGATATTTATGCACAGTTCCTTGAATTAACTGATGATAAAATGTGATTAGAGGACACAGAAGAGGAAGACTCCTAAATGAAAAGAATTTTACATACTTGTATGTTATGTGATTGTTTGTTTTATACACACATTGCTTGCTAGTCAAGCAAAAATGAAATTACGCTTTTCATTCAAATAAAATACATTTTTCAGTGGTCACTCGATACAAATAACAGTAGTTCATATGAAAATGGAGAGAACAGTGTTTGTTATTTGGAAATGTACTGTAGACGACAGAAAACCAAATGAAACGTACTACTATTTATTGATGATCCGTGCAGTGTGTGTAAATTATAAATGAAAAATTTAATGAAAAAAGAAAAGAGGAACTCTACGAATATCAGAATATGTTATTGACTTGTTATGTGGGCCTATTGCAGGAATGCCTATGTATAAAACTACAAGTTCTTAAATGTTACAGTTGAAAGGGAAGAAGTCTGATATTTGAAGCTCTATTCAACGTGTCAGTGTAACGAATACCATTGTTACATTTAATTAAGTTTATAGCTAAAGTTGATTCACGACATCACAAAAAATATAATCATACGCAAGTAACACATACATACATTTCAGTAAATTTATGATCCGCGATTCGATTATGTATTTTCTTCATATTTATTTTATACACCTTTAAATATTTCTCTTATTGTCATCAGAAATATATTACACGTCGCAACATTTCACATCTCTTATTGTAAATAAGTTTCGAACTAACATACAAATGTAAAGTTTGTTTGATTACTGCGCGTAACAGTGATTGACCAAATGAATTACAAGAGGTACATAACATAATGGAGTTTCGTAAACTTTATTTTTCATGATTTCCGTACATTTAACATACAGGATACACAAAACAGAACTACATTGAGTTGTTAAGATTGAAATATTACCACAAAATATCAAGGTTATAGTGTCACAAAGAAGATGGGATTGAATATAAAGTAAAAATTAACGAGACAAAACTCTGTATCTATTTATAATAAAATATCGATTACCAGTTGCAAGCTATATACACATATATATATGTATATATATATTTCAAATTTTTGTTGTAATCCCAAACAATTATATAAATTTATGAGAAACCTTGTAACTACTGTAACGCTTTAGCAGTTAATATTCAGTCTTACATAAGGAGAATGTGCCGTGGCATATACGAAAGTTTCAACAAAAAGCGATCGAACTATCAAGACATCGTTGATTAAAACCATTTCAAAGTTCAACCGCAGCAATAACCGAATTGAAAAATAGATTACGATATATGCGTCGCCGCTTTTACGATATGCTTTTCATTATTACAGATTTAAGAATAATGGTAAATCTGTGCGTTGTCGTCCATAGTAGAGTTTCAGAATGTCATGATTGAACAACGCGTATTATCAACGAGTAGTTATAACATCTAAGCGAGAAATAACGTGTGTACATACGAAGCAAGCTGTTTGTACTGAAGATCGTTTTTTGAGCTTTATAAACGCTTTTGTCGTGTCTTATAACGTACAGTGTATGTTCAACATGAAATTATTTCTTCATCTGTTCGTCGTCGAGCCTCTCGCTCATCCTTCTCGACAATGTGGCTACTTCTACACCTTTCTCATTAATACTCTTAAACCTCGTATGGTTTGTTCGCGCGCGGCTGATTGATTTTCGATTTTTGTACGACCGGTACCAGCGGCTTTTTCTTCACGCCGTGAAGAATGTGCGTCAATCCTATCTTTGTCTCGAGGCTCTTATAAGTACTGTAGACAACGAACCACACGTAACAGCTTGTGATAATGAGAAACAGAACGATTATACCTGAAACAAAACAACACTATTTAGTTCCGACGAAATGCAACTATGCGAACCAACCAACGATACTTGTACATGAACATTTTGAAAGGTAAAAGTTTGTAACATATTTTTATATGCACAATCTAGATTATGTATTATGTTTCCGGAGTATTTAAGATGAACATTTCAATGCGTTTTATCGTAAGCTTCAAATAAAAGTGTTTCAAAGTATGTTAAAATTTTTGTTCACAAATTTTCTCTGCGTTTCAATTTGGATCTTGAAAAATTCGAACGCGTCGTTTCCCTATATACTTGTATCCTTTTTCGTTGGATCATTTCGCAAGCAATTTGCGAATATTTCAGGAGTAGCTGCTTGTGAAATGACGATGTAATGCGTTAACTGATGATGCTATTAATAATATTATTTGTCGACATACGTTCGCAGATGTCCGCTTTGCCGCCAAGAGTAGCGATAAAGGGGCAATCCTGTTCTACTAAGAACAGAGAGATCGTTAGCGCTGATATTATAGTCATCATGACCATCATCCACGGAGCCATGAAGTGACGATTGTTCTAACGGAATAAATTACTCTGTTTTATCATGTAAACATTCTTTTCTACGTAAAATGTCATTACCGTTAATGCCCCGTATAGGAGCAAAATAGTAGAAAGAAAATGTATCACTGTGATGACTAATCCGCAATACATCGAGTAGACCGTTTCTGAAACAAACGATCGTTAAGAGACATGCGAAATCGTGCTGAAAATAACGATGCATAAGTAACTGCATGATCTCGTAATTTTATAAGCACCGGTCGCATTATGATGCGCCATATCCATTTTCTTTGTGTTCAGGTGATGAGACGATATATCTTCGAGAGCTTCCCTCTCAAGAGCATCTTCCGTGTCCCTTACCACCATTTCTTGAATTCCCATGGCATGCGCCAGTGCGAGCACGAAAAATATCATGCTGAATCCGGACGAAAACTGTCAGGAAAATGATCTCGGTGAAAAATATATTTGCGTATTTCCGAATAATTTGACGACTGCTCTATTTACCAGCTGAAACACGGCTATCAACACCGTGCCTTGCTTCAGGTTAAAATAATGCAAAAAATTATTCAACAGTCCCACTTTCATCTTGTTTTGTTTATTTAAAAAAAAGCTTGCTATTGGACGTTGTTCCTGAAACATTGAAAGCGCATTATTCCTCGGTACATTTGCAACACGATTTAGGATGTCGCATTCCGGAGATCGTAGCGCGAGGAAAAGTTGTTTCATAAAGCAATCCTGAATGATTGCGAGCCTTGCCACGGAGGTAGCGCGAAGGATAGCACACGAAAGAGTCGCTGCAATCGTATCACTCGAAGCAACGATAACAAACAACATCGAAACCAGAATCGCCAGTCATTCAGGAGGCAGCTAGCCCTTTGCATTTGATACTCATTAGCTGCGACAGGAAAACGAGCAACCCCTGTCGCCACTCACCCCGCGGAATAAGAAGCAGCCAATATCGCTGGAACTGTGTTTCACAATGTTAATCAATAACTTCCACTGTGTTCCTCGGTAATCGAGAATGATGATCTGATTGTCGAATAACGATTATCGTATGAAAAATAGGCTGCAAAGCTCGAAATGCACGCGTTTATTTCGTTCGCGGACCCTCTGTCTTTCACGCGCAAAACGCGAATTTACTTGCTTCACGGGGTAGGAAGGTAACCCCTAACACTAGATTACACGACATGCGCACCGCGGCGATCCATTGCCGCATCCTTCAAGGTGTATCCGTTCCCAATTGATCATTGATTGTTACTGACAAAACATTCGAGGCCAATGATGCATCCATGTGCGTGTCACACTGTTTATATTATTCAACCGGGGATGTATCGTATATATTATAATCTTGCAACGATAGGTTTCGTGTTGCGCGAAGGTGAGACGCGCCGCGGGGAAGACGGAGTCTCGAGCAAAACAAAGAGAGTCATTTACGCTGCGAGCGAAAATCACGCACGCCGAAATCGTACAATCGAGCGCGCCAATTAGCGTCGAACTCGCGGCCAGTAGACCTTTGCGCGCGCCAATCAGCGTCGCGAAATTGAACTTCGTGCAATGGGGACACTCTCCATGGTCCGGATTCGGTTACTAAGATCGCGAACGCGACACCGATCAGACAGCATTTCGTTCCATCTGACGGAGTTTTTTTGCAAATTTTCCTCCAATAATCACTTTTTTTACTAAATTCTCACTACCCGTAAGTAACTCCAAAAACATCATTTATCTGGCGAGCCTGGCACACAGGCAGGAACAGATACCCCCCTCAAGTCATAAAATAAAAAAAAAGGAAGACCGATCAAGCAGTGTTTCTCTCTTCAAGCCGGAGTCTTTCCGCAAATTTTTCTCCCACAACTATGTATTCAATTGAATTTTTTACATCCTGCAGGTAACTCCAAATACGTCAATTATCTGGTAAGCCTGGATTACAGGCTGGAACGGATTCAATCACATAGCACTCCAAAAAAAGAAAAAAACGATCAGGCAGCGTTTCTCCGGGAGCCCGACAGTAAGGAGATTTTGCGTAACTGGCTCCCAAAAAGCTCTATGCCGCCGCCCCCATTCGGGTCCCAGGTCCTTCTGGTTCCGCGCGGGAATTAGATCTCGTGGCACGTGCGAGTTGAAGGCGTGCAAAATCTTCGTTGGTTCTCCAGTTTGTCCGAGCGACTCGTCCGCAATTTGGGCCATTTTTCGAGATTTTGGGTCAGGTTCCCGATTTTTTTCATTTTTTCATTAAATATTTATTGATTAAATATTTATATATTAATAAATAATTTAAAAATATATATCATTAGTTAATTATATTTAATTATATTGTATTGAGATTTATAAATTTAACCTACTTCTTATAAGAAGTAGGATTAATAATTGTTTCATAAATTTATAAATATATTTATTAAACCTTCATTACTTATCTTAATGGATCCATTTATATATATCTATGAGGATAGGTCATATGTCTAAATTTATAGTTGATCTATTAAAAATACATTTTAATAAACTCAATAATTCTGTGATTATTATTTTATAAATTTATAATATATATATTTATATATATATATAAATATATTATATATATATATTTAATTATAGTTAATTAATAAAATATTTAATATAATATAGATATTATTATATATTATAATAAATCAATAAAATCTAAATATATATATTATTATTATATAAATATATATATATATATAATATATATGGTTAATTATTAAATTATAAATAATAATAAATTAATAAATAAATTTAATAATTAATATAATAATAATTTATTAATAATTAAATAATTAATAAATCATATTTAATATTAAATATATATATATATATAAA